ATATAAAAACTTTCAAATAAAAACTAGTTCAGGTCAATTTTTAGGGGAATTTTTTAACAAAAAGTTTCTGTTGCCCTATTTTCTTCTTGTATCTCACTTGATTAAAAAAAGTATAGTTCATTTGAGTGTCTTTTCCCTTCCTAGAGTGACTCTGACCTACAAACACTTTACGTTTTTACAAATGGTTTTCTACAAGCTACAATACATAGACAGACCCTTTAGAGCCTGTACATAACAGGCCTGTAGCTAAAGAGGTTTTAACTATTCGGTGCAGAGACAAACAAGAGTAAATTAATACCTTGATAGCCTGAAACTGAAGATCGAGACGCATTGTGGTAGTGCTTGGAGAACCAGGCCTAACAGCTGCTTGGGTACCAACAGGTAACAGCAGAGTGATAAATCGGTTAGGATTAGCTGCCAGTACATCTCGTAGAGGTTTGGCATCTTTATGTTTTAAGAAACTCTGAAGAAGGGGAAGAAATAATTTTAATAACAACCTTTAAAAGCAAAAATACCAAAGGTTATATCACCCTGTAGCTTTTATATTCCCCACTAAAGTTGCAGAGCCTGTATTTCACACACATAAAATAGCTTCTACAACTTCAGTAATAATATTACATGATCTGGAAAGGTATAAAATCAACATCTCAGGACAAACAAATACTAAAAAAGAATAGGCACCCCACAGTCAGAGTAAGAGCATGATTAAGGACTACAAGGTCATACAGGGAAATAAAAGATGGAAAAGAGGAAAAACCTTTTGTTCATCAGATTTGAAGATGAGGGCTTTTTCCTGCTCCCCTCCTCACACAGCTTACCATAAACATTCTGCTCCACTGTGGATCATTTAAAGTAGCTTCCATCATGAACAGCTCCACAGTCTGGGATGGATGACGTGTCAAAAATTTTATTAGTGGTTCCCTGAATGGACTGCCAGCCTGAAAGATTCATAAAGCTTAAATTAAAAATGCAGAGTACAGAGTGCTATCTACTAATTTACTAGCACTCAGAAAAATACATTTAACTTGGCATTTATGCAGCTACAAAATGTCCAAAACTTCTATGATAAGAATTTATTGACAATTTCAAAACTTCACTTTTAAGAGTCTAAGACAAATGTTAACACCTCCTAAATAAATAAATATGCTCTTCAAGCCTTTTATTACACCAAATGTTCCCACATCATGTTTAAAATACTATAATTTTTATAAACTAAAGTTTAAAAATACTGTAAAGCAAAAATATCAGCAATGGTAACTTCTACTTTTACCTCAATTAACATTGCTCGTTCTGTTTTCATAACAACTTCCAGCAGAGGTTTAACCAAAGTCTGAGGGGCAGCTGGGATCAGATGGAATAAATTTATAATTGCTGAACAAATCTTCATTTCCTACAGGTAATAAGAAACACAATTAAATTTATATTACCAGCTAAATACATAAAAACAGTATTACACATCCTACCTTTTTTGTCCTCTCTCTATTAGCATAGCTAGCAACCAAATGCAAAGGCTTAACATATATACAGCATCTACTTACCACGATGTATGGAGAAAATTGCTCTTGTGAAAGTCTGCCCCTCCTGCCTTGTAATATCATGGTTTAATTTTATTTTCTTTGTCAACATAGCGGTGTTTTGCAGGTAAGAGCTAAACACTGTGTAATAATGGTGATGGGGGAGCTACGGAGTGCTCGCTGCACTACACCTACCAAGTGGCTGATACATCAAAAAGCCAAACCTTCCTTTCTGAACAATTTCTCCTATATACTCCACCCCAGACCAGACATGGAAAAAAAGACAGCTTTCTCACAGCACTGTTCAGTATATCTTGCAAACAGCTGGTTACTTCAAAGAAGTCAGCTCTGTTCTCCCGCTAGATACTAAATTCTTCTGAAGTCCGAAGTAATTTCATGTGTTTCTTTCACTTTGTAATTTAAATAGGGACTATACATCAGTTAACCAGTGTGGATTTTCTTCAGTAAGAAAAGGGAAAGTAAAAAAACAAAACAAAAACATCCACCCTCATCATCCCTCTAAAACCATTTTCTAGTATGCAGTATACAAAGGAGTATTATCAAGTGTATTGCATTTCCTCAACTGAATTTGAACACAAAATATTAGGCCCCACTCCTTTAACATGATCTGCCTAGACAGAACCCCACCAGACTACTGTCACGGATTGATGTGCAGGATGTATAAAATCTTCTGAAAGCGCTAATGCCTTCACAGAAACTAGAAATCCTGCTCTTCCTAGTACAAACATGCTTAACATCCTCAACAGCAACGTTACCAAAACAACTCTGCCACAGACAAACAGAAGACAATTCACAGCACTGCACTCAAAGGCACAATGCACTCTGCCCAAAACACAACGATAAAACTAACAAATCACAGTTTAAATGAAAGAAAAAAAGAAAAGAAAAAAACCAAACAAAAATCCACAACAACAAAGAACTGCCTGGTGCCTCCACTGAGTTTCTCACCTCTACCCCTTCCGCGGCAGGCTGAACCAAAACAGAAGTCACAGCATGAAAAGAAAAAGCCCACAAAAATATCAAATAAATGAACAAATCAGTATATGCTATTCTTCAGGTTGCAGTCAGAAACTGACTTCAGTAAGGTTATTTTCTCATCTCAAACGGAAAGAATGGAGAGAACGAGTATTTCCCATGCTCTGAATTGCTCTAAGAATAAGGATGAAGAGCATCTTTTTTTCTACTTGTACATTGTTTAGACACAGCTTCTCAAACATCTGTATTGAATAAAAAATTATCAAATCAGATGAAACAGTATTTTAGCATCTTCAAAGACAAATTTGTCCAGCATCAATTATGAAACCACTTTCAATACTTGAACTACCACGCTATAAAGTCCTTCTCATAGGCTGTAACGCAGAATTTCCACCATGGTGCCATTGTTCATGAGAGGGACAGTCAGAGGCAACAATCTACTCAAAACTTGTTTCTTAAACTACCAAACAAGACCCTAAAAAACACACCTTTCCTTGGGGATCCAGAGAAGAGAGGAAGAGGGATTTAAATGAAAGATTTCACTCATTGGGCCAATGAATTAGATCTTAATCGCTACTTAATACAGTATGTTTTAATTTGTTCATTTATCTAAAGAGCATAGTCACAGTTCAGGAACACAGTAGGACTGTCATAAAATTATCTAAGTGAATGAAGAGCTTAGTTATTCTGGCATCGATAGTTGTTAATTATTATGCAGCATTTTTAATTGAGATGTCTGAAATTTTTAGTTTGTCTAGAATTTCTATTTACATATGAAAACTCATTCCACAGGCTTTTGGACTGTTACGTGATGAAGCCTTGCCGACTGGCCACTACCTGCACTTTGCTGGAGAACTGCATGACAACGCCAGCACCACCATCAAATGGCACCTTCATATTGTGCTGCTGGAAAAACATGAAAACTCTCTAGGTCGAAAAAGTTGTTGTAACAGTGCTTTGTACCATTTCAGCTAGCAAACATAGGGCTTTCCTGACCAACTCCATTCTTCACTGTGTGTTCACCATCTCCTAAATCTAACCACTGACTCACTCAAGTCTGAATGATGCAACCTACTCCAATAACACTCCCCAGCATCTCAGACTTTGTATCTCAGATTCTGGAATCTCACTATGGTCAAAAAGAAATCAGAGTAAGTGAAAGGCCAGCTACCGTAACTCTGACCACCAGTTTCACCACCCTAGTTCTTCCACATTTAGAAGATGCAATTACGGCAGCAGTGCACTGTACATACGGACGTAGGAACACAGACCACCACAGTGACTGTATAAAGGTCACACAGTCTGTGCCCTCCTTCAGTTTTCTAGGGGGTTTATTTTTAAGGAAACTTTACAGAAACAACTGTGAAGAAAAAAAAAATATTTCAATCAGCTTCGCAGTCACACAACTCTATTTGAAAATGTCTCCATAGACTTCTCCCTCAAGCTGTGACAGTAGATTCCTTCTCAAATGTCTGGTGTGCACCTCCCCTCTGCATACATAGGTTTCAAACCAACACAAAAAAAATTACAGGTTTAGGATACTAAACACACAATTACATAGAAAACACCAACAGAAGACATTAAAAGCAGAAGAATTCACAATTAATTGTGATTTACGGACAACTAAAAAAGAAAAAGATCTGCAAGATATCTGTAATCATCACGTTTGTGGAAAAGCGAATCCCAAAAGAAGAACATGACGCCCTTAGAACTACTCTGACCTGAATGTGTTTAACTGAAGAATGCGCAGTTTTTAAATTTAAACATAAGAAACAAATTCTACCCCATTAGAGAACATCTAAGTCAAATACAAAGCAATGACTGTATCAGAAATAGTGTGGCCAGCAGGACTAGGGAAGTGATCGTGCCCCTGTACTCAGCACTGGTGAGGCTGCACCTTGAATCCTGTGTCCCATTTTGGGCCCCTCACTACAAGAAAGACATTTAGGTGCTGGAGCGTGTCCAGAGAAGGGCAACGAAGCTGGTGAGGGGTCTGGAGCACAAGTCTATGAGGAGCGGCTGAGGGAACTGGGCTTCTTCAGTCTGGAGAAGAGGAGGCTGGGGGGAGACCTTATCGCTCTCTACAACTACCTGAAAGGGAGTTGTGGTGAGGTGGGTGTTGGTCTCTTCTCCCAAGTAACCAGCGATAGGACGAGAGGAAATGGCCTCAAGTTGCACCAGGGGAGGTTTAGATTGGATATTAGGAAAAATTTCTTCACTGAGAGAGTGGTCAGGCATTGCAACAGGCTGCCCAGGGAGGTGGTGGAGTCACCATCTCTGGAAGTGTTCAAGAAACGTGTGGATGTGGCACTTCGGGACATGGTTTAGGGGGCATGGTGGTGTTGGGTTGATGGTTGGACTTGATGATCTTCAAGGTCTTTTCCAACTTCACTGATTCTGTGACTAAATTCAGATTTAAAAGCTCTCTTTGCAATGACAGGACAGAGTAATGAGAAGCCATTAAGTCATTTCCATGTTTTGAGGGAAATAAAAAGCCAATCTAATTTCATTCTAATTTGAAAAACAAAGAAATTGATAAAATTCCCCCCCACTTTCTTCCTAGTTGCAATAATAAATCTCAACACAATATAAATTATTAATAAAATCTTAATAGAATTATGGGGCTTCTGGTAATCTACACGAATCAACACTAAAGCAGGAATTCCCTACAGTGCTGTACTGCTAAGAGCACACAGTGTTGGCATTACGCTGTGCAATTTTCCATTCATAAGAAAACTGATCAGCCTCCCACAGTTCAACATTGAGGCCATTAGTTTGGGTGGGAACGAGATTTTAACATGATCTCAGCTGGTAAATATTAAATGTGTTTTTCATAAATTAAATGTAACAAGGATTATATTATTATTCTGTGTAATTTTCAAAAAAGTATGTTATGAACATCAAACATATTAGTGAAAAAAGAGGGATTATGCTGCTGAACTCATCAGTCATTCCAATGAAGAACGGATTTCTAAGCAGAAAATACTGAGGGAAGGGGGCGGGGGGGCGGAATCAATGAGCTCTTCCCACACCGACCGGTATAGAATAGGCTTTAAAGTAACCATTGTTAACAGGTAAGAAGCTCCTTTTACTAAGATTTGTAACAAATATTCAATATACATATAAATTCATTAGCTTTTAACAAAACATCAGTGTGTAATCAGTTATGGCAACATTTACAACTGAATGAGTTCTGTAATTCCAAAGCATTAATACTGTTTATTTCTTGACTTCCCACATAAAAGCATTCATTGACTTACATTTCCATCGCTCCGTTGTCCACCTTTGTGTGTAATAACTACAACTTCCATCCATTTACGAAGGTGTTGCTATAAAGAGAGGATAATCAGTATTATTCTTCTAATTATACTTTTCTATTTTTACCAAGTGACAGCATATGCTACAAGAGTAGTAGTAGTAGAGGCAGAAATAAATGTTTGAAGGAATATTATTAGATATTTTCATTCCCTCAGATTGAAGAGTTTACTATTGCTGAGTCCTCTCCATATTCAAGAAAGCAGGGATTATAAGTGTACATACATTAAAATGCACAAAAATCTGAAGTCTGATACACAATGATGATAGGCTTACACTTGTTTAATGATTTGCCTGATATGTATGCATTTAAATATTTACATATTCGTGGTAAAGGGTAAAGAATTCACACACACAGTTTAAAAACTGCAAATAAGAAGGGCAATACCTTCCACCATTTTATAAATCAATAAACCTCCAGAACAGACTTAGTCTCCTAGGAAGTAAAACCATTTTCAAGGGTTTCTTTAGTATATTATGCTCCTGGCACCTCGCTTAAAGATAAATTTGTCCAAGCAGACCATAGCATAACTAGGCATGTCTTTCACTAGAAGACAACATCTCCTAATTTCCTGGTTTACTAGCTCTTTAGTAATTAACTCAAAATGTGTAAAGATTTTTTTTCCCCTATTGTGAAACAAAAATCTTTTACTTCCAATACATGTATTGAGTCACTACCAAATCGTTCTTTGACTTTTCAACAACGCAAATATCGGCTAAAAGAAAAGCTGAACAGGCTTACCATCATCTGATCACAGAATTTATCATTAAAGGAGTTTGGAAAAAGTCTAGTAACAGATGTCAGACGATTCACAACATTCAGCGTCAGACTTCGATAGTCTCCCAACATCATAAGCAACGGCCTCATATGCGTATGAATTTGATCAACTTCTATGGTAGCTCCTTCCAAAAACTGCAGGAGAAGATTAAGATACATATGAAGAGGGGTGTGACTTTTGTGCAAGCATCTTTGTTAAAATAAATTCTGCTGACTTGATTTTTCTTCTTTTATTTTGTACTTTCAGAATGCAATAGCTTATGACAAGATGGATTTGGGAAGCACTTAAGTATTTTTGACACACAATAGGATATTCCATAAAATGATCAAGTAGGAGATCTTAATTACAGACAGACTGAAAAACTGCCATAGTTATAAATTAAATCTAAAGCTATGGACAAACTACTTAGACATCACTTTATTAAGAGCTGCCTGTGAGTCTGGTTGAAGGAAGAAGAAATTTCTGTGTTACAATCTGCATGCATTCCGAGCAACATAAAAGGTCAAGAGAACCTGGCTGCAAGCAGCCAGAGTGAATGTTTCCTGTCATAACCAAACATCCTGTGGGCATGGATTTATCACAGGGAAAAAAGGATCAGAAAAATCTTCAAGCAAATGGTAAGTCAGAACAACCCTTACTGGCTTCCTCTTACCTCTCAACCCAACTGTATTGTCAGCAAGCCATAAATAATACGTACATTCCCTTTCATGACTGGAGTGACATGAAAAAACAATGTCTGACCTCTAATCAGTCAATGGCCTAAACAAATGTAAACCACCAGTATTACCAGTTAGATTTCCTGTTCCATGCCAGACAATCCACACATCATTACAAAGAGACCATATGTGTTTTTATTATCATTTTCTACATTTAGAAGAATGGTATTAAAATCTTGCTGAATCAGAATTAGGTGTATCTACTGGGTAACAAATCATGATGAAAGAATATCCTTTTCCCTGTCCTTCCAGCTTTTTTACACTATACCCTGGCATCCAAAGAACAGACAGTGTAGTGTAGCAATATGTAAGGATACTAATCCTGACCTTAAACAGTACAGTCACAGTCCTGTTCCTTAAGGTAACTGCCGTACTGTGATGTATAGTGTAACTGTACTGTATGGTTTACTTTTCCAAAACCAAGTGTGAGGTCTCTACCACTCCTTTTAGGAACAAAGAAGAGACACAGGAAAAGCTACAATAAAGCCAGGCATGCACATTTGCAAAACTGCTGGGAAGGACTTACACTGTTTATTTGGAAAAGAAGATGTATTTCCAAAGACCAGACAAACAGAAAGACTGGACAGACAGAAAAACATACCATGGTCCTTGTCCAAGAGCTTATAATGCTTAATTTCAAACAGAAGATTTTTATGGCTACGTTCAAACCCCCAAAAACCGCATCTGACAGAAACTTAATTATATTGGTGTCACTAACAAAAACTTAACAGAGCAGCCATTATCCCCTATAGAGATCTTGCCCAAGAAGCTTTGTAACAAGGAAGTAGACCAGGGAGAACAACAGTCTCAAAAGCATCATTGTTTTAATACACTAACCTTTCTCATGCATGCTTCTCCTGCCTCCTGCAGTTCATTATTTGTTGAATTCAGTGCCTTGAAAAGTGCAGCAATGATTTTCTCTCTCGACTGAGGCAAGTAATTGCAGGCAGCTAGAGCATCTGCAAATATCAAAGTATATTTGTTTTCTTTGTTAACTCAATCTCAAAAGGGGGGGGCAACTATTTCTACTTTTATTCTCTTCAAGTTTCTTTTATTTCATCTTAAATTACAGACAGCTAAAACACAGCATGCTTTGCCAAAAGAAACAAGCATCATAAAATAGTAAAAGAATGGAAATTCTATTAACAGTGTTCTAAAGTTTTCCTAATGCTATATAAGATAATTAGTCTAAAAGTATTTTGGCTTTGTTTCAGAAACTAAATCCTAGTCATTAAGAAAGCAGTGATACTTTCCCATTATTATCCATTAAACTGTGACCTCTAGAGAGCAGTCAGCAGTCTTCAAGCTCTCAGGTTTTCTGTTGATCTTGGGAAGACCAAGATCATTGGCCATTGCTCACAAGGACACGTCTACATCAAATTTTGTTTAGGAAATTTTACTTACTTAAGGCTGCAATCCGAAGAGGTACAAGCGATGGAAGACTTTTGTAACAGGGTAGTTTCATTAAGGCAGCATCTTCAGCCTCACACAAATTCAGTAACTAGGGAAAAAATAAAAAAATTATTTTAGCATAGCATTGTGAATCATGTTTGGAACAGTATTATCAGTTACATTTTGAGCCTTATTTCCTCAAAGAGAAAAGTTCATGCCAACACACTAATCAATTCCCAAATTTCACCAACAGGCAAAAATTGTACTCAACGTTAGGGTATAAACTCCCATGAAAACCAGTGGTTAGCCAGGGGCAAGAGAGCCCATTAGCACTGCCACAAAAGACAAGGCAGGCAAAAATCAGCCTTTTTGAGTTTTGTTGGCCAACACCTAGCTGGTGGTGGTCTATTTGCAAACAGGCAGCTCATACAATGCAGACTTTAAAAGAACCGGTCTAAAGAAAAGCTTGCCTCCTGAATGACAGTAATCATACTGAAACTGTTGAGGAAAGGGGTAAGAGAACAGAAAGAGATTAATAGGGAAAACAATGTGCTGAAAAAGTCTTCAGTAATTCTAATGGTCATGGATCACTACCCAGAAAAACAATTCTCTCCTACAGAGCTCTCCTCTTTGCAGGCAAGTATTTCCAATATATTTCTATGTTTTTATTAGAAATAAAATTATCCAAATTAACAATATCCAGGTTGCACCCATAACCAAGAACTCAATAAATTAAGATTCAAATCTTCACAATAACAATATATCTCTCTCACCTTTACAGCAATTTTTTTGATCCACAGCACTTTGTTTTTGTCTTCAGGAAAAAACAGAGGATCCTCTGCATTGACAACTGTAGCCCATACTGAACTTATGTTTGGACAACACAGCTAGGAAATCAAGGGACTAGACAGTTTCTCTAAGTTAAATCTACAGACTAGTTTGATCTCTGACTTTTCTCAAACGGTTAGGGACTCAGAAACCTTAACAAACAGTATCTATGCTTTGGTGCTACAACAATTTCTTTAATACATATACTGTACATAAAACAAGACCTAAATATGAAAGTTAGGGCTAGGACTAGGAGTATAGACTAGGAGTATAACACCAAAGTTCATTTAATATATTTCACACACATTACAGCATTTTGCTTAGCTCAGAGCTATTATGTTGTAAGTAAAGGCAGACCGCTTCCTCAGTGCACAATTCAAAAGGTAAAATTCTTACATGTCAGTGAAGTTTAAAATGCACAGAGAACATGTTATTTTTAACCATGACAGTTCTAACACCATGACAGTACTTAAGTATCTACGTTCAAATGTGACAACATAAAAAAGAAAGTACCTCTGTGTAGAAAACCTTGTGTTCCACGACATTTAGATCCATTGTAAACAACCGAGGTTGCAGCGTTGTGCAAAATGTATTTCCCTCCATCAGGCCAATCTGGGCATTTGCGGGTTGATGCCTAAGTAAATGCTTTTTAGGAGGAACCATGTCTTGGAGAACCTACAGAATGTAATTTAGATGACAAAATTAGCAGCCTATCCAAATGACCCCACAGACCTAGCCACTAAGGCACCATTAGTCATGGCCGCATATTTCTATGCATTTGCTGTTGTGTCTCAGATGTACATCTTTAGAAATCACTACGCAAGAAGGAAAGTCTTTCTCTGAATTAATTTAATTCACAGTCAGTTAATGAAACAACTCAGTATCTATAATTATAACATATTCTCTGTAACAGATCTATTATATTTAATAACTTGACATGTTACAAACATTTTTAAAAATTTCATAGACTTAAGCATTTCGAATGTTCAAATCAAGAAACAAGAATATTTTAAGCTCCTAAAACATCAGAAAAATTAAAACATTCATGTAAGTTTTTTTCATTACACCAATTTCTCACTCCTCTCCACAAACACCTGTAGCAAAATAAGGTATCAATTACAGGTCTTCTCTGTACGTTCCCAAATTAAAGTAACGACATCTATAATTTCATAAGTGTGTTTACTTGTCTTTCAAGCAAATGAATACTATTAGCTTTAAGGAGTATCTAGCAAAAAGTTATTTCAGACAGCTTAGATCTTTATAGACTCTTTCTGTATAAGGAAAGACAGAGCAACATGCCTCACAAAACTGGGGTTCAAAATGCAGTACTGGCCTAGCCTCTATCTGAGTAGTGGCAGGGCGAGCAATCTATAATTTCAGGAAGTAAATCAATCTGGAGGCACTATCAATACTGGCTAAGCAGTCACGCACAGTTTGTATTAATCTCTGTAGTACTTCAGCCACAGTGTATTTTAGAACAATGAAACATAGCAAATGACAAACATGTGCTATCAAAGCACTAAGAACTTAATTCACTAATGTGGGAAAATGCACTCAGAAAGCATTTTGCAAATGCAAACTGGTAAAAAACTTTAAACTTACTTGGACTTTCAATATTTCTGTTTACCTCTTTATGTGGCTCCATAATTACCGTGACACTTTTTCCAGTGACCTGTGCAAGTACTTGTAACGAATGCATTGCCTGTTTTCTCACAGTAGAGTTTGGAGAGGTTACTTCTCGAACGAGGTCATGTGTTACATGATGGAAAGATTTTTCCTGTGCTGCTAGGATTTCTTCTGTTTTTTCTTCATCTTTTAAAGGAGTTGCACATCTAATCAAAAGCTGTTCTAACGTGGTCTTTGCCATAGCAACTGCTCCATTGGAAACCTAAGGTATCATAGATTAGTTTTATTCAATAAGTATGGAACAAATACCACAAATCTACACATTACCCATGAACAAACTTAACATTTGATTTTGATGAATCCTCTGCAAATGGCTAAAAACATAAAGCTTAAACAGAACACATATTCAACTCGTCTTCCCACCAATCGTTCTAGAACTCTAAGCTGCAATGCAAAGTGTGCAATGCAACAAACTCAGGTGCTGGAAAACCCGTAGCAATGTTATCACCGTATGTTTCACAACTGACACAAGGTCAAACAGCCAATTCTCTAGGTTTCTGTAGCTACATACAGCTTTTTGGTAAGATGAACACCTTTCCACCTAAAACACAGAAATAAAAAAAACCCCAGTGTGTTTCACACAAGTGAAAGTAAACCTGTTTTTCTTTCACTGATCTGAATGTGACCTACACATTTCCACTGTGAAAGAAGCAAGTCTAATTCCAACAACTATGGCAAAGTTACATGGAGAAAACAGACCTCACTGCTAACTTCCAAGTCTTGGTTTAAGTTAAAATGACTAAAATTCACTTGTAACTATCACAGATACAATACATTTTGAAGTTAAGTAAAATCAAGATTCGTAGGCAACAGTTCACTCTATGTGAATTTAAGAACAAAAGTTTGTCTCCCCCATACTATTTGATATAATTCATTCATTAAATACCTCTCCAGTTAGATCCATCATAACAAAGAGAAGTGCCTTCAGGAAAGTCTGCTGGTTCTGGAGGACCCAAATTAGCGGCAGTCGTTCCATAAGAAATTTAATTGACACAACACCTCCTAGTTTAGCATACCAAGCTTGTTCATAGCAGCAAGCGCATAAACGTTCCACAATGTACGAAAACAAAGGAAGCTGACAAGCCTGGAAACAAAGAAACGTATCAGTTTGCTTTTTCTGCTCCCTGGTAGCCTCCAAAATTTTAGAAGGAAAACTGCATTGGCTGAAACTAGATAACTTAAATACTTTTGCTTTTAGAAATTATATATATTACCCTTTCCTTTGAACCCAAGATAATGCTTGCAACATCAAATATCACTGCTAGAGCCACTTCTCCTATTTTGCAGAGTTCTTTTTCCTCATATGCCATGCAGATTGCGATGGCATCAATAAGCACCAAGGGATCCATGCCTTTTGACCCATTTTCTTCACTATGAAACATGGCTGTGCTGGGCTGGCTTCCAACCTGATAGCACTGCAGCAAAAATGGACCTGTGATTTGTATTGGGGAAGAAAAGAGAGAGAAGAAAAAAGATAAAACAATGGATATTCCAATATGAATAGTCTTTCATACAGATTTTACTATTCTTCTGACTAGCTGATGCCAAAACCAGTAAGCACTCTGTCTATTTGCATATAATTGGATTGTAAGGCATTCTTCACTCTTCGAAGAAAAAAAGATTGCTTGAGTATTTTCTTCTATGCACTAGACTACACACTGCAAAAAGATTTAATTAAAATGAAGAATCATAAAAATACAAGTTACATTAATGTGACAATGAGGAGTGATATGCTTATAACATGTCTTTTCCCAAATTACTTGTCATACAGTCCAACACCAAACAAAAAGTTTACTTCACAGATACAAGACACTGCAGTACTTTAATATTTTCTTAGTTCCTCTGACGGTCCTTCAAAACCACAAGTGGAAACAAATCAACTAAAGACCATCTGCAAAAATAATTGTGTATAGCAAGTTACATAAATGCTCTGGAAATACAAAGTGTTCCAAGCTGTAATTATTTCATTGGCTGTAGCATTTTAAAAGTATTATTAGGTGACTGTTGCTTAATTTTTCACTGCTCAATAGAATTAGAACGTAATCCAGCCATCCAAGAAAACCCAACATATCTACACAGAAGCAACGGCAATATCACTATTTCCTTAAAACAAATTACTATCAGAAAAAGTATAAACTTCTCCAAGCCTTCTCACAACAGTCCAAATAATCTCTATTCCACTTTACTTACCACATTGCTGAGCGACTGCCACCATTGTGTAATGGCGGATTAGGCTAGCTACAAAAGGTAGAGCACTAGGCCGCAGATCTTTGATGACTGCTGACATGAACGCCCCTGTCAATGCCTGTTCAAACGTTTTACGAGCTGGAGTATCCTGAGCTTTGTATCGATGCGAAATAATCACACTGGGTATGGACTTCTCCGTAAAGCTGAAAGACAAAATTAAGTTCACTATAATCCTAAACTGCAGTACTGGCAGCTCAATCATGAGCATCATCAAGTACTTGATTTAAAATTTGCTCTCGATATCGAACTCCTCCTCCGCCTCCCACTGTCCCCTCATTTTGATAGAGCTAGACCAGTTCACTCAGTCTATATTAATTTTGTCAACCACTGGTCTGAAACATGATGGATAGCTCAATTTCATCAGGAACATTTAAAGCCAGTGGTTCAGAAGACGCCACATATATTACAAATAATAGGTATACAGGCATCACACTGCAACTCAATTACAGAATGTCATTTTCAATATTTTTGACATTTTTCCCCTTTTTTAAAATGACATTTGATTTTAATCTTGAAAGACTAACATTATTTATCAAATCACTGCCCAACAAAACCTATTCATTGCAAAGCTGTATTTATGTCAAGTCTAACAAGTCCAAATTATAAAGCTAGTGTACACTTTAGCTACATTTATTACACTGCAAGACTCAAAGTCAGCACACACTGTGTGGGCAAAGACATCAAAGCTGTCTAAAAGCAATAAACTCATTAAGTAGCAATGACTAAAATTCTGAAAGATGTAAAAAAATTCAATAAAAAGCCCCACACTAAGACAAACATAGGCTATGTGGCTGACTATGCTATAGTTTGGTCACTAAATAAAACTGAGTTTTGTTTCTCTTTCACTTCAGTAAAAACTTAGATATACGTACAAAACATCGCAATTTAAGTTAATCTTTAAGATGCAATTAAGCACCAGAATATTCCAACTATTTAAATATATTAAACTAAACTTATTTATTTTTAAAAATGGCTGATCATATGTAACAGATTCTACATTGGACTGTGATTAGGGGAAGAAAATTAAAGTATGCAGCATTAACACATGTCATTGGCATTAAATAATATGCTGACAAAACTCCTCTTGCTGGAAAGTCCGGCACCGATTTAAAAGGAAGCATAGAATCATAGAATGGTCTGGGTTGGAAGGGACCTTTAAAGGTCATCTAGTCAAACCCCCTGCAATGAGCAGGAACATCTTCAACTAGATCAGGTAGCTCAGAGCCCATCCAACCTGAATAAACCAGTGGGTAAAAATCCCATGAAGACTATAATGCCTAGACAAACCATTGTCTTTAATTTAGGTTATTCTAAAGACACTATAAATTTTACATACACATTTATGTTTAAAGAATTGTCATACTTGGGATGTGCAAGAAGTTGGTATAATGCATGTTTATTATCATCCAGACTCATCATAGCTACTAAAAAACACTTGATTACTTCCCACGCTTGTCTCCGATAATACGGTTCTGTGTTAGCACTCTTCAAACAATCCAGAGCAGTCTCAATTGCCTGTAACAAAAAAAAGACAACAGTAACCAAATACTTCTTGTTCTTAATATTTACAGCAAGGTCATCAATCAAGGGAACAGTATCTTTAATACATATTAAAAGTAACCTAAAAGTATGTACAATTTGGACTGCCCAAGTTAAAAAATGCGGAGAATGCCTGCAAGAGTGGACTTGCAACTATTATGGTATTTGCTGTGCTTTTATAAATGCAAAGTTTCACGGCAGGTACATGTATTTCCACGGTTAGAAAGCATTTGAAAGTCATGAGTGAGGTACACCCCCATTCTCCCTCTCCCCCCTCAAGAAAATTTTCCTCACCTTCCCTCCAGCAATAATTGCTGTTCCTAATCCCTATATACTGTAGGTATATAATGCATTTATACACATATATAAATGGTACTGAAAAAAGTTATATCTTGCTAATTACTTTGCCATATTTTCCATGCAATTCAAGAGCTAAATCATACATGATGCAAAGTCCTTGTAAGCAACTTCTAAACACCATTTACTTAATGGAAATAAATCTTCTTGCAAAGGAAGAGAGTACTATTTAATACTTTGAGAATAATTCAAATGATCTCTTAAGATAGGAAAGCAATGAAAACGGGGGTACATCTTTTTGGAAAATTTCTATTTTGCATATATATGTGTATATATATAAAACACAGCTAGATATGTCTATCTTCCCGCCAAAAAAAAGAAAGGGAGAAAGTAAAAGCCAATGAGACAGTCATTAAGTAAAAAAACAAAAAAAAAAACCCCACATAAAGACTGTTTTGGGGTGCACAAAATAAGGAATTTCAATATCTGATCAGTTGTAAATAAAATCTAACCATCTATGCTTAAAAAAGATTATGCGGAAAAAGGCTCTGCTACAAAGAAGTGGGCATTTTCCTTCTTTGACAGGAAAACCATTTTTCTACTTACTGACTTAACTAGCTGTCATCCCATCACTGTTTGAATAACCTTATCAGCATCTCAATAAAAAGAACAATGAGTTTTACACAGACCACAGAAGACTACCAAAGCACCAAGAGGAAAACACAGACTTCTAATTTTCAATTTATTCCACTTCTTCCTTTTAATTTGATATTCCCTTTTTATAGGTACAAAGTAGTAAGCAGACAACATTGTTTCTTGGTCAACACCAAGAAGCTGAAGATCGTTCCATACCATTAACCAACACGTTAGTTGCATGAATACTTTGGAAAACTTGGTGTGAATTAAACCTAGCGGAATAGGAAAATGTCAGCAATTACAGTATATGTATTCAACTCATCAATTTCAATACAGAGGAGAAATCGGTAAAGCTATCTGCATTTTAAGAATCATTTTTCCAAGCTATTTTTAAGTCTGTTGGCTATATGGAGCCAAAGAGAGCCAGCTGCCTGTGAAGAAAATTGTTTACTACATTCAGATCATACCTACTTAGGAAAGTGTAATTGAAAAAGTAAGTATTAAAAATCTACAGGCCAAATTAACTCAGAATCCAGCTTCACTCTTAGATCCCAAGACATAGACATAGATTAGATTGCTGTAATTAGTGAGAACTAAGCATTTGTGATATGTTGAGATTACTGGATGAAAGCCACTGGAAGTACAAAGAGGTTTTGCAGCTCTAAGTAGTATTATATCCAACCTAGAGACAACGAAGAAAACCAAATCATCGGAGTCATTAGAATAATCATCACTGAGGAATTTCTACAGTAAGTTTTTGGTATACTACAAAAAGAAAACAGGGACGTTTTAAAGTATTTTCCCGCTCCTGATCTAAGCAGTACACCAGAAGTTAGGAAGGGTACAAAAATGCACAGAAAGCATTTACTTGTGCCGGTTTAGCTCCCTAACCTATTATTTTGTAAAAGCAGAGCAGCATGTTTAAATCTTTTATTTTGGGGGTGACACATAAAAGAGTTTAAAGGGAAAATAAAAGAAATAACAGGTTGACAAGCTTTTGCTAATTTTGTATGTCAATATGAAGCAAGAAGTTAGTGTAGGTCTACCTGCCTTACATAGAGACTCTCAACTGATCACTACATAGTAAAAAAGAATAAAAAGGTCTTTGCAGTGATTTCTGAAACAACTCTTTGTACTTTACATGCCAGGTTTGGCACCTCAAAAATTACATGAAACAAAAAAAAACCCCAAATACATAAGTAGGCTTCGATTCTCTTTCTTCATTACAACGTAAATTAATTAGAAATCTCTTTGTCTAAGTGGAGGGATATTAAAAAAATATCAGGTATGCATGAGATCCTAAAAACTACTTTTAATTATGTAAATTCTGTAACATTAGATATTCATTAACTCATGTCTGGTGCTGGCAGACATGCCCCAGACTTTATGAAGGTTCTACAAGCAAACAAACTTCCAAAAAATCCATAATAAAGGAAAACAGAGTAAAACAGTTTCTTAGCCCAGAAAATAACTTAAGCCCTTACCTTTTCCATTGGGAGCTGAATGGATGCTTTACAGTCTGAAAATTCAATTGTAATACTGGGTCCTTGGATTTCTGTGACTACATATTGTAGTTTCTGTGATTCCTTTAACATCTTCCTGTTACTTCCACCAAATTTACCAAGTACACGATAAGCCACATGAGAAATACTGTCTGCAGGATTGCGCAATGTACGCCACAAAGCCTGTAAGTATTTTAAATGTTAGATGGTCAGACTAGTCTCACTTCAAAATTTTTCAAGTTGTAACGTGAAAAAATGTCAAGGAACACACTTATTCTTGAACCTGGGTAATTGATCCTGCATAACTTCCAGAAAATATTTACCTGGACTGAATAAAAGCAGTCTCTGATCACAGAAGTTCAAGAGCTTTATAAAAAGGTGGTCCTAAGTGCAGTTTTAGATTAGATTAATGTGATCAGCTACAAAATCTTTGCCACACTGAAATATAATTTCAAGTTTGTCACTAATATTAGATAAACAACATTATGAATTAAACAAAACAAAAACAAACAGAACAGTTAAGGCTGAAGTGAATTAATCTCAAAGAGCTAGTTTTGAAATACAAAAAGCAAATAAAGTAAATATGAAAGGATAACGTGTATGCAAGCACTGTATTAGGGGAAATAACCACATTTAAAGCACTGTTCCAAATTTCGCACATATTGTCTTCACCGTGTATAAGATTTCATATGGCTGTCAATTGTGATACGCTGAAGGTAATTAGCTTTTCTTGTTTTGTTTTTTAAAAATTAACAAATTTTCACAATCTTCTGTACCATCTCATCTTAAACATAGTAATATTCCTGTTATTGAGTCCCAGGTCTTAACTTTAACCCCTTAACAGGGGCTATAGAAGAAATTATTAATTCACTTCTAAATTTCTCAGTTTTCAGTTTAATAGCACACCACCAACTGGCCTTTTACATACAAATCAGACCGGTATGGTTCTGACAGATTTTTTCAAGTTTTTAAAACCAAAAGGTTCATAAAAATTTCTAATAATATTTAGCAAATTAATGACCTCTTGTGGTCTAACAGGAAACAACAAGTTTACCTGCATTAGCTCGGCTCGAACTGGTTGAATGTGATCATACAGGAAGTCTGGCTGCAAGTTATCCACGCACAATTCAAGAGTTCTTAAGCCCTGGCTAACCAGGGTCTGAGATCCATTGAGAGCCGACACCAAGGGATCCATCAACATTGGCAGATAAGGCAGTAATGAGCTCAGTCGAACGGGCACAGTGAGGCAGAGCTCTACAAACAAGTCTTTCATGTGTTGTTTATGAAGGCCACTTTGCAACATATTAAGTCCTGAAAATCATTGAGAAGTTATACACTCAAAAGAAAAAGACAGTCCACGGTTTATCGTTAAAAAATCACTAATTCCTAAATTCAGAATAACCTGACATTTTTAAACTCTGTAAAGCTCATATCTGTAAATAACGCATTTACAAAATACAATACCATTCATCATTATAACTTACATCTAAGGTTTTTATGCACTGAATGTTTTTGTAGGTACACACCTAATAAAAAAAAACCTATGCATATTCTAAAATTTAATATTAGACTCAATGAAGTAGCATTTGAACACAATGGATGAAACCAGAAAAAGATAATTTGGCTCAAACCTCAGCCTTGTATCAATAAAAAAAATCCACACAGAACAATTTGTTTTTAAAATATCTGGCCTCCTGAAAAGAAACATTAAATGAGTTCAAGTGCATTCACTGTCCCATACAGACTAAACACATTCTCCAACTTATTTATCCCCCATCAAGATTTCATATATCCCATAAACCTAGCTAGCACTTCCATACTGACATGTATTTTACATCAATTTTTCGAGATAACATATATATTTACTAACTAAAATAAAATTTTCCCCTACAGCTGTAGATGGGAACCAAAAGATTTCACATTCCTTAAACTGTTCCTATTAGCTTGTCCTTCGGTTTAAGTAGTTCTCTATTTTTCCTTGCTCATCCTCAGTATCTCTGGAACACTTTCCTTGCAAGCACAAATGCTCAGTTAGTCAAACTGATTGTTATTTCCATTTCTTTCTGCAAACTGGCACTACTTGCATTTATATTTACCACGCACTTGCAGACACACACAAATGCCCTCAACTGCGGAACGACGAGAGCTTCTCTGTTATGTTCTTCCCACAAAACCAGTGATGGCCTAGCAACATTGCTTCTCCTACTACTCTAATCCCTCAATGCTTTATGCTATCCCTCAAGTTACCCATAGCAAAAAAATGAATGAACAAAACAAACAAAAAAAAAAAACCCAACAGCTCCACAATGGAAAGCAGAAAAACAAGCAGCAGAAATTGTGAAGCAGCCAAATCTATGGAGCCTGAAGCAGCTGATAGTAAATGAAAATAAGCCACATTCAAGATATTTAATCAACTGCTAAACTGAAAATCTGAAGCTATTTATCAGGGTTAGGGCTTTAGTTTTTTTTTTTTTTAATTACATAACATAACTTTATTACTACTATTTACAAAAAAGATCAGAAACTAGGGTGGGGAAAGACGGTATTGCTCTACCTTGCAGTAAGTTTGGTAACAGCGGCAAGAATTCTTGATATAACAGATCATGACTGCCTCCTCCAATAGATCTGAACAGTGCTCTGAGCAGCAGGAAATAGTTATAGGGCTCTTTGGCAGTCTGTGCAAGTTCCATAGAGCTGTTCACAATCTTGTGCAAATGTGGCTATAAAAAAAATAAAGCTTGAAGATTAATAAAATATCAATTTTATCATCATTGTACTGTACAAGAGTTTAGCATGAGGCAAGTTTTTCAGATCAAAAACCTTCAGCTACTCCAAGTACTCTGATACCATGCTAATTTTCTACCGCCGTTGAAGAATTGTTAAAAAGTAAATATATATTTGAATAGGATCAAGCATCTAGAGTATTCTTTAGTTAATTAAACCCTGCTTTCACGTTAGTCAAATGATCAAGTCTGCTTGCTACTCCAAGCAGTAACTGTATTAAAACAAAAAACCTTCTGCAAATCTGACACAATGAAAAATATTTGCTCCACAGAAATACAGGGATGTGTAGCAGAAGTCAGAAGTGTCAGAATGAGAAGACATTTCACAATATTGATTCACTCCTGATCTAACTTCATCACTAATTCTTGATGCTAAAATTGCTAAAATTCCACTTTGAAAGCAAACTTTTTCAAGTAAAAAAAATGATTAAAGAACTGGTGGCCTTTCTAGCGCAGAGGACATGAACAGTTTGCAGGAATCGTTAAAAATAGTTGAAAAATACATGGATTCTCACAGATCAGGGACAAACAGTGACATAATTCTGGATTTTATTAACATCTAAAAGCTTTCCACATTGCTATGCAAATTCTGCAAATAGCCTTCATCATTCAATTAAATTGTCTACCCAAGGCCCATATCATCAATCCTGCTGAAACAAAAACGTAACAGAAGCATGAAATTCTGAAGGTAGTATATCACACTCTTTAAATTGGATCTCCAACTTACAAAATCCAAATGACCTTGATTGTGATGACAAATGAGAAGAATTTAGGCAAGATTATACATGAATATAGTTTCATATTAATTACGAATATTGCTTCATATTACTTTTGTCTTCCAAAGAATCTGGAAAATTAGTAGTCCCTATTCTGTTCTACCCAGAAAAACGAACTAATCCTGCTGTAACAAATCGTTAAGCACAGAAACCATTAACACACAGTTACCTGTATCAGAAATTGTGTTTATTCTAAGGTAGAAGGAAGAGAAATGGAGAGAAATTATGAGAAAGGGAGCAGCATTCAATTAATTAATACCTTAATGTTTCTTCTGGATATAGGCAGCTGTTAATTTATGAGAAAAGGACACACTTGCTTCAAGCTCAGTATTTCTAAACTCACTGAATAATGAGATGATCTCATCAACATAAACAGACCCTTGGAATACATAGACAATATGTTGTCAATAGAAAAAACAGCATTCCTTAATCCAGACTTTCCAAGAGCGCAGAAATATCTAACTCAAGAAGTACATGTTAGTAATTAGGACATGAATGAACAAGATTCACCAACACAAAAAAGTGACTCCACTCTAAGCAAAAGTCTTAAGCTAAGATGGAAACAAAGGGGGGAAAAATATGCAAGAAGATACGCATATCTTGACCGGGAAGTTACACGGGTTTACGGCAATCCTAATCAAACCACAAGCATGTATCAGTCATACTCAGAATTAGTACATCACAAAGACTATCAAATCTTAAGAGAGCGTAAAACTCTTAAGTTTCTTGAGAGTTTCTTCAGATGTAATCTGAAGAATGTATTGAGTCAAAACAAATTTTTTTCATTTTTAACACAAATGACCCTTACCTTCAGCATTTGTTCATTTTCAGCTGCAAATAGGGAAACTGAGCCAAAGACTAACTTGAACAGCTTGAGATACAGATTGGAGAGTTCCACATTAGAGCCCATTTCTGGCAGCCTATCCAGAAGATACTCAACCAAAATAGTTGCAAAGAGCGCAGAGGTAGTAGGGTTTGCCAAGAAGGAATTGGCAACAATCTATAAAAGGAAACCACAGAGGAGTTGTTGTTGCTGTAATGAAGAGAGGGGCAAATGCACTACCCATTTAAAAAAAAAAATAAGGCAAATTGCTTTCTGTAAAACAGGAGGTCAGAACATTAACACAACCACCTGAACAAAACAAGAACTCTACAACGTTCAATACTTTTCAAGAATAAAGTCTATTCGTACCTTCTAAATTGAAGTGCTCATGTTTGTATTGCATCACTTAGTCTGGAAAACTTTTGAAAATCCATCTTCACAAAGTATTTTTATAGACTGCCTCAAATCTTGCATGCTCATTTCAACATTATTATTTATAATTCCACTTCAGCCTTATGTACTTCAAGGCATAAGCTATTTTCTACAGGCTGTTTATTATCAATTGAAAAAAGTAAACAAAAACATAATACCTGAAGAGCATAGTTTTTTGAGATTCGCTCCACCATATACGGAACAGTAGTTTGAAAGATTTCTTTGAAAGTTAAAGGGTTCATCATTGTGAACACACCAGCAAAATGCTCCAGGACTTCCTTTTCCTCTTTCATTCTGACTGTCTGACAGTTTGCTACTCGAACGTATGTCTGTCCATTTCCTGCTATTTGGACCTATGGCAATTTAGAAAACGCGTATGTTGGTTACAGAATTTGAGTAACTTTTTCCCCACTATTCTTAAAGTATCTTTTGAAAAAAACTGAGATTTTACAGGTTTCACATGCAAATCCCATAAAATTACAAGTTGGGCACGAGAGCCAACAGTAACAAAAATATTAAAATAGAGTGTTTTCAGTACAGATTTTAAAACCATGAAGTCAGGAGCGGGAAAAGACAACAGCAGGAGATATCACAGTACATTTGTAAGGTTACTTAATTCCAAAACATGTACATTTACATTTCATTAGTACTTTGTGTAACTACAGAAGATAAACATAGACATACGAATGCTTCAATTGATAGCTAAACTATCTCTTTGAAGGAAAGATTTAATCCATTACATGAAAGACAAGTATCTTCAGTCTGACCTGCCTGCATAAACACACACAGTAACGGATGTTAAAAAAATAATTTGTTCCTTGCAAGTAAAAAGTAGTTTGAAATTCATAAAATTTCCCAGTAGCTGTGGTCCGGAAATTAAAGACTTAATGAAAATATAGTACACATGAAATTTGTCTTTTAGCTGACAAATAAATCCTTATTAGAAGATCTAACACATAGTAACTGTATGAATAAAAGTGCTATGCGGCCAGGTTACATACCTGATAGATATCTAAAGCTTGCATTGCATATTTTACCAATTTTATATAGATTTGAGTCTCCTTAGGCTGCAACTGCTTATTGGGAATGAATTGTGCTTCTGAAACAAGGTAAAGAATAAGACAGTAGTTATCTATTGAAAATACTACTTGCTTTCACACTAGAGAGCTTTAATTGTAGCATTACAAAAGAGAAACGTAATTAAATATTATTCAGTTTTACCACCAGGAGCTTTGCATGATGTTATGCCCCATGTGATTGTCTTGACACCACAGACCAAAGTTTTTACTAAGCTTCGGCAATCTGTGACCTGAAATGTCTGTTTATCTTCTTTTTCTTTCTCCCCTTGTTTTTCAAATACGGGTACTGGTGCAGGGGCCACTGGCGTGGCTGGGGCAGGAGATGGAACAGGAACAGGTGCCGCATTTGCTGCTGTCGGTACTCCAGGTAACGCGGCTTCAGCAGCCCCAAGTTCAGACTGTGGCTTGCATTTTTTAAAAATTACAGAAAGCTGGTATCGTGCTATAGTGTGAAATTTCAGAACAAAAACCTAGAGCACAAAGAGCAAATGAAAGAGCAGGGAGGGGGAAGAAAAAAGAAAATAAGTTTCTTCTTCAAAAGGAATTCTAAATTTAATAATACTAATACTTCAAGTCAGCATACTGAGATCAATAAAATTTAAAACTAAGTATTTCTGAAGTTGTTCAAATGACAGCACACATTTTTAAGTGCATGAACGAAATAGTTTTCTTATTTTTAAGAAGTTCCAAAAGTAAAAATATTTGCTTAAAACTAGTAAAACCATCAACTAAAAATTGATTTCACTTAAATTCTACTTAATTTGAAAATAAAAGGTATTTGAATTTATTTTTAAAAATAAGACTTAATATTTCAGACTATAAATATTTAACATTAAGCATAAAAAGCTTGAATTTTTCAGATGTATATGTAATATATGTCAGATGCGTTAAAATATATATACATTATAGGTTTAAGTTGTATTTTATGCAGCATATCAGGTTTAGAAAGCAATCATCAATCCTGCATAACAGCGGTCCCCAGCACTTCCGCCTCTTGGCTGATACAAAACAAGGGACATGTTGTACAAGGTTTCAGTTAAAGTTTTCCATACTTTCCAGATTTCAAGGCGTCGATCTGCTTGGCTTGCTCAGACACTTCCCCACTACCACCACAGTTCTGTACACTCCCTTCTTCCCTAGGTGTACCTTCTCTGAATTCACATATTATTACAAATTTTAATTTGCTAAACAAATGACCAAACTGTGTTACATTACAGCTTTTTAAAAAAGTAGGGGAAAAAAAAGTAGTTTATTTGAAAGACAAACCCCACTAGAAAGCTACTTCAGTTGGAGAAATCTGGAATAAAAGACCCGTTACAATACATAACGTCAAGATGTTTCACTTGCATGATCACTTGTATTTCGTATTTAGGACGAAAGCCATTCCCTAAGCTACTGCTACCTTAAAGAAAAATAAAAGTCAGGGGTAATACCAAATAATCTGGAGATGACTAAAATAACTAAATCTCTTCTCTGGTGCATTCAAAACCACGACAGTCTGTCAATGACAGAGAAGGGTCAAAGATGGAAGGGATCCACTACATTCAGAATTCTTAGATCTCCCTTTCCAAAACAAGCAGCCATACAGCTTCCTCAGTTGTCTTAAAGTGCTAACACCAGTTTGGTTTAGATTTCAATGCATGCTCTCACATCCCAAAATGAGATTATTAAACCAGTGTTTGCCCTAGTGTTTTACTCTACAACTGAATGCATCTTTATGTTGTGGCAGGAGAAACACTGGGCAACCTTCTTCCATTAAACACTTGGCTACAGCAAGCACAGAGTTCCACTTGTACTACACCATAGATGACAGCTTTCTGGGTGCATCCCCAATTTTAAAAATAACAAACAAACAAAAGCCCTCAAAAAATCCTCCATATAAAGTCAATCCTTAAAAACTATCAGTAGGTCTTGAAACTACAGATATTTCACTATGCCAAGGACCTGCGAGATAAACCTCTTTCATGTTTTAAAAAAACAAAACAAAAACCCCCACACGTATAGCCAGAAGGCATTAAAAAAAATACCATTCTTACGTACCCTTACGTGGGGCAAAAAAGATTACAACTAAAATTTAAAAGAAAATTTAAAAAAATAGTTAACAGTTAAGCTACTCCCAGCATCACAGACATACAGCTTCCTGCTTTGAAACAAGTCACTGAATGAATAAGCTGAGTTGGCAACGCATCTCCACTACACTCAAGATATTATCCCAGTTGCATAGCATTTTAAAAAGCCTGTCTCTAAAGTATTAAAATGAAATACGGTGTGCCAACTCTTCCTACACAGTCTCATTTCTGAGGAAAGGAGAAGTGTGATTGACAACATACTATAAAACAGGATATTCAACTTATTATCAAATGTTTTAAACAAATCAATACCTCCAGCATTCTCATAAGAATATCTCTACCATTTCCGTTTTCCTGTTCACTTTTAGACCGGATACAGTCTACCAAATTTAGCAGAAGCTTGCAAGACATTGTCTGGATACTGCTAGGCAACGACTCATCATCAATGTTCTTGGCAAATAACTGGACAGCAAGGGAGAGATCATTGAGTGGTAAATGCTGACGGACATGATGTACCAGGTCTGCCAGTGTACTATATGCAAGTGGTCTATCAGTAAAAACAAGAAATGAAGAAAACACATTGAGGACAATTAAAATTTTTGTTAATTGGACTTCACCAATAATTACTTCTTGGAGCTATTTCCGAGACTGTAAATCCAAATTTTCTATTTTTATATGCAAATCCAGAGTTCACAAGTCTTTCAATTACACAAGAGAATTACAACATGTACAGTCTAACCAAAGATGCATTAATCTGTCCCCCAACACTAATGTTACGTCTCTGATCTTGCTTCCCCCATTGCTGAACATCCCCAGCCCATCTTTCCTTCTACATACCATTAAGAGCAAATTAGCATGTTTTAAGCCACATTTTAAGCAGTGTTGGTAAGCTGTTTCACAATTAATCATTGATGATTCATGATTTCAAAAGCAGTTATGAAAACTGATGAATTTTTTTATCATTTCTTTTCAAATACCAGGTTTAAGCATCTAGCAGAGCAAATACTTCTAAATCTAACACTGGTTGTCAGTAAGATACACCTGATACTTAAGGAAGAGGAAGTAATTGTCCTAGTTCACGTCTTTTAATTCGGTCAGCAAAAGCACCTAAAAACTAGTAGACTATTGAAGACACAGAAAGTAAGTATTCTCCCCATTTATTTTCTTTCAATTGCAAATTAATAAGTTTTAAGGTACTTATTGACAAAACAGTTTAAATCTCATTCAGATTTTACACTGGACACAAGATTTAGGCTGCTTTGGGAAATATTGGGAAGATACTGATTTGATTTCACTGTGACCACTGCTTTGGTTGTGCTTTGCAATCCAAAAAATGACATAGTTTTCATTCACCTGTTTATCATATTTTATCATATATCACACCACCATGCTGCACCATCAAATTTTTAAATAACAACCACTCTTTACAGCAGCAGATATTAGAATCTAATAAAATTAGTTATTTAAAGCAAAGACTTAGGACCCTATACAGACATTGTTGTAAATATTAATAAACCTTGAAAGAAACCAGCCCTGGCAGGCACTCAAGAGAGCTATTCCAAACTTTCTGTCGTACCTCAGTGTCTCTCGGGCAGTGTATCCAGAGCCAATTAGTATAGATTCATCAAATAGTTTGTCCATACATGGAATAAATTCTATAATTAAAAAAAAAAACAAAAGGTGAGGGGGAAAAAAGAAAAAGCTATACATAGTGATTGGCACAGGAAATAATCAAAACAATACAGTTAAGAATTATACCACTTAACTTAGGTTTAAATACCTAAGTCAGAAAGTGGTTTTATTATAAAATTCATTGCTGAAGCTTACAAGAGGCAGCATCATTTACAAGGAAACTTTAAATTAACTTCTTGTGACTATGAACTCCACTGACACTTGCCCCTTAAGTAACATTACAGTACACAGTCAAAGCCACAGCACTGATACAACAAAAACAGTCACAGCTGGACAGCGAAAAAATGCTTATATTATTTTCAACTTTGCAGAACTTCTTAAATATAACTAGTGAGTTACCGGAAAGGACAAGTTCAGGCAACACTGTACAACGCAACTCTACTTTGTCTGGCATCTTGTCATACAAGCTCTATCCCAAAATGTAAGGAGGAATACATGCAACTTGGGGTCCAGGGAAGAAAAGGAAAATTCAGCAACAAAGTCAAGTGACAAAGCAAGACCAAAGAAGCATTTTCTTTTTAAATATAGAAATCAGTAAGTTTATGGAATTGATTAAGTCACTCCATCCTAAACACAGATGATGGAAATGGCAGAAAGGATTAACTGCTCCCACCTCCAAATAATGCAACAAGCTAAAACTTATTAACAAATAAGCAAAAAGTCAAATAAAGAGAAAGAGGAGCATCCAGCAACCTTCATTCTCCACCAATTTCCAAACAATATTAAAGATAAAAAATCCAGCATTTTCTGAATAAAATCAAAAAGGGACAAGGAATCTGTGAGGTCCACTCAAATGAAAGGGACAACGTGGTAGCTGTCTTTGCTTTTAAGAGAATGTCACATTCTGTAAAAATACAAAGGAAGATAGAAGAGCCTTGGCATTGTTTTTTGAGGGAGGTAGAGCTCTGGAAGACTTAAAGTAGAAAAAGCAAATAAAGACTGGGAATAAAGATTTCAGATGCAAGGACAACCAGTTATTTCACAAGGCAACCACAGTAGTCATGACATGGGAATAAATTCAGTCATAGCCAACAACCAACTGTGGAGAAAAAAGCTGAGTCAAAAAGATGATTGGAAAGGAACTGCCTTTGATCATCAAACCACTCTGAAAAAAGGAATTAGTCTTAGATGCACTAGTATTAGCACAGCAAAGAGATTAAGACACAACTCCTGACAATGAAAAAAAAGCAAAAGGAAATGCAAACTGAAAAACAGCAATGAGGTTTTTGTGTACTGAAAACATTTAACGTTAATATACCTGTGTTGTGCTATTACTCTTAATCTGAGCTAGTAAGAGAAATTAAAGCAAAGCAAGTAATAATAAATTGTTTATACCAGACCACTGATTGAACTCTCACACTGTTAAACTTCATAACATAGGAATATTTTACATTGAAATTAAGAAATGTTCAGTCATTAGAATTTCAGAAACATCATACAAGCCATTCTAGCTTTTTGAAATGGACATCTCAGTTAAAATTCTCAACAGAAATGTCTTAATAGGGATGAAAACAGGTAGGTTGCTAAATTCAATTTGCATTCTATCTTCCAAGCCAGCTTTTAAAAGCTCTATCTAATATTTATGTGTATACCATATTTTGCCGATATGAAGTATTCTTAGATAGAGGCTGTCTTTACAGTGATGACAAAATACATCACAGTAAAATACATGGTGTTATTCATCAACTCTCAATCAACACAGAAGACTAAGTTTGAAAGATTATTGCACTGAGAACATTAATGCCAATGGCAAGACCCACAAATGCACAGCACTTCCCTCAACACTCATTTTTCCAAATAAGTTGAACTGCACCAGCAGAATGACCAAAGCCTTACCTTCTACAGATCTCCACATACTTTATGTCCCACTTCTCTCCCTCACACTCTTTATTCCTTCTGCGATAACCACGTTCCCTCTTCTCCTTAACGTTTCTAAGCATTTCCTCCTCTACATCCACTTGGGGGCTGCCAGGTAGCCAAGAGCAGGGCTGGAGGGATGCATTAGCAACACGTATGCTACAACACCAGCCAGCTGACCAAGGGCAATGAATTGCTAAGCTCACACTGCTCTTTATACCTCCAATGGAGACACTAACTGAAGTTTCCTCCACTACCCAAAACACTGAAGTTCACAGAGGATGCAGAACATCATATCTTTAAGACCTCACTCATCTGTTGAATTAAGAAAAGGCTGAGAAACATAAAACAATTAAGCTAATTTCTTTACAAAAATATTCAAAGAAACAGCTTTCCATGTTATCACAACATTAAATTCCAGAACTAGGAAACATGCTTTACTTTTTTGCAAGCTAACAACACCTGTAAGACATCACACTGCCCCATAATTGTTGTTAGCAGGACAAGAAAGGGGACCACACAGTAAAGATGAAAAGACAGAAGTTAGTATTTAGCAAAGTACATTCATCTCCAATTTTGCAATTCTGCCAAAACAGAACATATCCACCAAACCCAGTTAATTCAGGCAGACCAAAAATGGCTTTCCTCTGCTAGAGGCAAATACTACAAGATGAATCAAAGATACGTATCACATTTTGACAGAACTACTTCCACTCAGGTTAACAGATTAAAATTTTAAAGTATCCGTACAATTGCAGGCACAATTACAAATGAACACAAATGTTTATCATCAAATGATAATTACTTGGAACAATAGATACTTGGAAAGCTAGAAAAGCTACTTGTTCAGTATGCCATCTTATTCAGGTGACTTTTTTTTTTAAAGAAAAAAGAAAAAAGGCAAAACAACACACACACAAAAAAAAAAAAATCACACCCACTCCCAAAACAATCAGAAGTAGGTAATAGTCCAAAACAAATAGTAAGCAATACATCTCTTCGACACAGAAATAGTTTAAATCTTTCCAGTCTATAGATAAATTTTCAGAAAGTGCTACTTACGGCTCCTCAAGTCTGTTGTCAAGATGTGCTTAGCAGCAATTAGAAGCTCCTTCCGGAGGTGTGCCGTTTCAGCTGGACAATTTGAGAGCAACTGCAACATTCCTTTTACCATTTGCTGAGAATATTTAGCCACTAATTCCTATAACAAAAAATAACATGAATACAATTGTTATGACATTGTATTTTAAAGCTTTGCATTTGCAAAACAATATTCAATTAAAATTCACTTGTTTCTCTTTAAGCAATCTACTTGTAAAAATAAAATACAACATTCATTCCATAAATGCCTGGGGCAGGGGAAATGGCACATTTTTACTTTTCATTCACATGCGAACTTCTGAAAGGACAACAAAGTATAGCCCTGTCTTCAGATTTGCTACACAAACGCTCTTCTCTCCAAGCTCTGATGCACTGCAGTCATGCTGGTCACTTGCCTGCCATAAAGTAACTAGCAACCTGTTGCACTAAGAGCAGCAAAGGAACAAAAATGCAACCTACCTGGTAAATTCTTATGATGTAAGCCAAAAAAGACAATGTTTTAATTTGAGCAGCGATAAAATCAGCATACAATTCCTTGTTATAAAGTTTATGTTGCCTGAAATTAAATTGAACAGTGGTTACGATTTTGTTCCTCCTCTTTAATACCTTAGTTCAGAAAATTCAAAGACATTTCAAATTACATCATCTTGTAGTGATGTTCTTGCTTCACAAGGAAATAAAATCATCATGGGACAGCCTATTTTCAACAAGCTCTCTGGCATTCAAACTCCCAGCATCTAGTTTCTGCTCTAAGCAGAAACGCAGAGCCCTGAGGCAGCCATACAATGCTCAGCTTTCTGCAGAAAGCCAAGCCAATACATTAGCATCAAACATTTGGATCCATTCCCCAAACTGGGGCAATTTTTTTTCTCCAAGTAGTATTCCCTCCCATAGGCTTGTCTGTCTGTCTCAAGCTTCAACCACTTATTCCGATCATCTGGGCAGACAGGGAAAGACAGAGATCTTACTCCTGCTGCCCTGCTCAGCACCACTTGCTGCTCCTTAGAATCATCTCTCTCTGAAGCAGGAAAAGCAGCGCCCATAATCTGCAACATCACAAGGCT